TTCAAGCTCCTATGTGCTCCACTGAATGTTAACCCTTGTAGCGCTCTGACGGCAGCAGTTTGCCTATAAAGCAGACTCTCAAATAAGGAGCTCAGTTGCTGTCTTCTGTAAACACGGGCTCTCGAAATGGAAACATATGCCTGTATGGAGCAGACAGTGACTGTGGTAGCAGTTCTGCCTAGGTATAAATTTAGTGATTCAAAACCCATGGCTCCAGTTTCCATGGCTATAAAAAGACGACAACTCTCCTCGATCAATTAAAAATACAAACCATAATCAAAAGAAAGCACTAAGTAGGATCACAGGAACAAACCTCTGAAAAGGCAACTCAATGGAGGGCAGGAGGCTCAGCGCAGCGATACTGGATAACATAAAGGAGCAAGTCATCTCTTGGACAGAGCAGAGCTCCCAAAACCAGAGCCAGGGAAAAAGCGAAGGCTGCCCCCAGCAGAACCGCATGCACCGGGGACGAACAGCCACCGCCCGAGCAGAGAAGGGGTGCGGATCGCTGGCGGATGCTGGCCTCCTTCGGCTGAGGGTAAGTCTCCGTGCACCCCTCCAACAGCCCCGTAGGCTTGGTTGGTTTCCTCCTCCTTCAGCGCCTGCCTTCTGGAGCCCAGGCCAGCGCGGCAGGGTTTGCTACCTGGGGAACAGCATCCGTCTCGGCGGCCTTGAGGCGGCGGGAGGCAGCCAGCAGCAGGGTACTGGGCGCCCGGCAGGCCGCTTGGCCGGCGTTCAGCGGCGGCGCAGCCCTGCATCCCGCTCCACGGACGTGCCTGTGATCCTCTGCAGAGCCTTGGCGCTCGGGAGCCTCGGTACACAGGAAAAGAGCAATGGGCACTCTCAAACCTGGGAAAAAACTTATTCAAAACATATTTTCGGTGTATTTTGACTGAGTTTTGTGTCCATTTGCTCCTGCGTTCATTTTACCAGACTCTACGCTAGCCTAGGGTACAGGGGCATGCCATTAGAAGCTTCTTTGGAGGCTGAACTGCCAAAATAAAAGGCAAGCAAACAAAAAGTACCCATGCCAAAACACAGCATTCATTCATTCAGAGTGAGATGATGTGAGCTACCTAACAAATCCGAAAAAAAAAACCATTTTTGAAAGCCAAGTGCTGTGTTCCGACTTGTTCTGGTCCAATTGCCTGCATTCCCTGTTCACCTTCAGGGAGAGAAGGGAAGAGACCCCAACAGCCAAACCCCACCACGTCAATATGTTTTACCAGTTCCGAAGCGTTCACACCACCCACCCCGCGTGGGTGCGAGCGTGAGAGAGAAATGTGACCAGCAGCAGGGAAACCCTGGGCAGTGAATGCCAGGCTACCTCTTGCTCGAGTTCCCTTGGCTCAGGGCCGGTCCAAGGGCGTTTTTTTCTGCAACATTCAGTAGAGTAACCTAAAGCAGCCTGATTTTTCTGCCATAAATGTAAAATAATCAAGCCCAGGACTTCGAGCCCATGAATCCTCAGGGCTGGCTGAACTCCCATCTGTAAATCCTACAGATTAGTTGTATTATGTTTATTTCCTTCGTGAGGAAAGAAAAAGGAAAAAATACTAAATACAGTCAGTCTGAGCTGGCAACAGGCTTCCCTCCGCCTCTTGCGCAGACCGGGATCCCAGGAAGAGCCGCAGAGAGCGGATACGATGGCAGCAGGGCGGGCGTGCGGCCGAGCTGCCCCAGGCTGGGGCAGCAGCAGAAGCAAAGCCCGGCTGCTGCGGCGCAGGAGAGCCTTCCCCGGCGTCCGGGGGGAGCCGGCAGAGCTTCCCACACCTCCGCCCTTGCCTTTCTTTGCACCACGTCATGAACTCCTCTCTACAGTCTTAATTCCTTCGGCTGCAAACCATTTGGCACTGGTTTGATACATATTCTTTCAGTTAAGCGTGTGCATGGATAACACCCAGTTCAAAACAGAAAAAAAAAAAAAAACAACCAAAAAACCACACGATCCTTAACAGACAAGTTAAACCTGCTTATCTGCAGAAGAATGAGAGTCTTATTTTAGTAATAGCTGAATCACATGAGAAAAACTCAAAATACTGAAATTACACAAGAGATTCCTGTGGTAAAACCAACCCTGAGCTGCCAAAGACGCGCAATAAATGTGACTTTTAATAATCTCTTTTATCGCCACTGGACAACGTGGAGCTCCTGAGACCGTTCTCAACTCCCGGTCACAAGCATTTGCCTTTACGTCCTTTACCTCAAGGCAGAAACGAGCACACGAGGTCGGAACTGGCTCGGCAGCCCCCGCGCAGCGACTCCGTGGCTCGTGGCGCAGGCCGAGCAAGGAACTCGCCTGCCGTGCCTGCAGCCGGGCTACCGCATAACCACCGGCGCCTCGGCTTGGTCCTGGGCCACCGGGTAACCTGCCCCCTCCCGCTGCGCCGTGGAGAAAGCCAGCTGATTAGGATAATTTTTAAGACCAGAACCTTGCTTTTTATCCACTAAGATAAAAAAAAATAAGTTGAATTCTTTTACGTGCAAGAGAAATTCAGCCTCAGCTTCTGTTGTGCCCGCTGTGAATCGCGCACCTTACCTGTTCATTGCTTCTCGCAACTCCGGAAACTTTCTAGGCCTTCCAGTGACACGACAAACTTGAAACTAAGCCTATGATCACAGGAGGAACTGAGAAAACACCACCCCACACACACCCCCAAAAGAAGAACCCATACAAAGGTACAAGACAAAGCAGCTCCTTGCTTCCTACAAGTTAATGTTGGGTCACCGTGCAGATTTTACTGGAACTGCCCTCCTTCTGTGAAGTTACGACTGAGTCTAATTGGCATGGGAAGGGCACATGCTCCGATTCTTCCAGGTTAAGGCAGGTCAAGGAAAAAGACGTATTAACAATCTTCCTGCTTATCAAAACAGGGGACGCGCTATATCTGGCTATCGCTCTGCGTCTGTCCAACGCATTGATTTGATCCAGCTAACACGAAACTGTGACGGGCTGTTCTGGATGAAAGCATCTCCAAAACACCGCGGCGAAGAAAAGCGGTAACGCTGCCTGGCGCCAGGCCGCGAGCGCAAGGGAGCGCGACCCCGCCTGAACCGCGGGGATGAGGGGAGAGTCCCCAGACGCTGGTGTTCAGGAGGAGATTTTTTCCCTCACCCTCTCACCTCCAAAAATTGCTTTAATACTGATCCAGACTCCCAAGTTTTAAATACTGGACAACTCTACAACACTTAGCTTATAACAAAAACACTGAGTTCCGCTGAGGCAAAGATACTTTAAAAAAACCGGTCCAGGAACCACCACCACAAAGAAACCCAACCGCCACCAGCCAGCACCACGCACGCTGTACTTGAGTCCGATTTGGATTTTAAGTCATTTCTAGGGAGACCGACTTTTACAACCCACAGTAAAGATTTTCTGAGAAAATGAGCTCGTTGCGGTGGAATTAATCATAGATCTATGCAGATTGATATTCCCAGGAGATAAAGGGAAAGGGAAAAATATTAAAAACGGATGCTCCTGGCAAATGAAAAACTAATGGACCGTATTTTCCCAAAGGGATGGGAGGTGCTTTCATTTTATTTCACTCTGATGACTATGCGAGACCTGCTGTAATAGGTAAATCTCAGGGAGCAACATTTCCACCTAAATGGAAACACCTGGAAAATTTCATGGGGAACGCGGAGGAGAACGTAAGGCATCACGTACCAAATCTGAAGAGCACTGAATGATGGCGACACTGCCGCAGAACGTAGCTTGGTTTATGATTTACCTGTAAACTAAAAGAATTCTGCAACATTTCAACCTGGAGTTTCTGCATAACTATGGCAGGGACAGCAGGGATTCAAAGTGGAACCAAAGCCGCTGTCAACGAGGAACATTGTTTTTTCAAAGCTAATCTGCGTTGGCATCGGAGATTCAACAAGGCTGAGTGCGGGGTCCTGCACTTGGGTCACAACAACCCCATGCAACGCTACAGGCTGGGGGAAGAGTGGCTGGAGAGCTGCCTGGCAGAAAAGGACCTGGGGGTGTTGGTTGACAGCTGCCTGAACATGAGCCAGCAGTGTGCTCAGGTGGCCAAGAGGGCCAATGGCATCCTGGCTTGTGTCAGGAATAGTGCGGCCAGCAGGACCAGGGAGGTGATAGTGCCCCTGTACTCGGCACTGGTGAGGCGGCACCTCGAGTACTGTGTTCAGTGTTGGGCCCCTCAC